AGTTGCTTGTGAAGCATATGACTCCAATTAACAATCTGACTTGGAAAATAAATTTGATTTGGAAATGGGATCCAACTTCAAAGCAAATCTCTATGCAAACTTGATAAATAAATTCCTATAAACTAATTTTATAAGCAAACCGCTACATATTGATGTTTCAGGGGGAAGTTAAAGGACATATTGACACAGCAAGTTCATATCCTGTAGTACATAACAAGCGAGCAGAAAGCAGTACTGAGCAGTCTTTTACATAACTCAAAAAAATCCTGGACCTCAGAATAGGAAGTCAGCTGAGTGTACCGAGATGGTTCTGCTATTAGCAATGTAAGCCATAATGAGCTAGCTAATTGGAGCATCTTGTCTGTACTACACTCTGTATCACTTGTATGCATTCAAATCAATATTATTGCAGACATTAGCTGAATATACAGGTAGTCCTTGACTTACAACCATTTGTTTAGTGACCATTCAAAGTTACGACAGCACTGAAAAAAGTGACTTATGACCGCTTTTCACACTTACAACTGTTGCAGCATACCCATGGTCCTGTGATCAAAACTCTGATGCTTGGCAACTGGCATGTATTTACAGTTGCAGTAAATGTGAAAGGTGAAATGTGATCACCTTTTATGGACCTTCTGACAAGCAAAATCAATGGGGAAGTCAGATTCACTTAACAACTGTGTTACTAATTTAACAAATGCAGTGATTTGTTTAACAGATGTAGCAAATAAGGTCATAAACTGGGACAAAACTCACAACTGTCTTGCTTAGCAATGGAAATTTTGGGCTCAATCCTGGTTGTAAATCCTGAACTACCCATATAGCAATGCCTATATGGGAAAATTGTCCTGAATATGTTTCTGATGAAAACATACAGGATCATTTATTGCTTGTCTTTTTTTTCCCAAAGAAGGAGTGGGGAATGAAATTCTCCTGGGTGAAATATGATAGTTTGACATTATCTTATTAGGCAGCGAGAGTGTTTCAACGTCCTGTCTTTCACTGACCACAGTCTCATCTCCAGCACTCTGCAGCCCTCCCCGGATTCAGTTCAATTCAGTTCTTCAAGGAAGGCATCAGCAAACAATTCCTCCCGCTGGTTTTTTTCAGAAAAAAATAATAATGGATTATGTTGGCAGACAGGGAGGTTTTGATGTGATACTTTCAGATCTGTAATAGCAAATAGCAACAACAACAGTGCCCTCCACCACTTCCAATATTAAGACAAATCACCATCAAGAGAAATTTGAAATACTCAAGCCTTCTGAGAAGAAGATGGGAAAACAGAAATCTCTTTCATAGAGCAAGCAAACTTTCCTAGGAAGTTTCAAGGAAGATTTTTGGCAGAGCTTTATTGTCAGGCAATACATTTTTTCAGGATCAGTTACTGGCCAATCAATATGAGCATAATAGTATCTGTGCATTTGGGAGGATTAGTGAGTACTCAAAGCTGACTCCTCAGCATGAAAAGTAGCAGGCTGAGATTTGGTTTAGGTCAGGACTTCAGCAAGGAAAGAAACGTTTCCAGCAATATTTTTCAAACTTGGCAATTTTGTGTGGACTTCAGTTCATAGAATTCCCAGTCAGCATCTTAAAATTGCCAAGTTTGAAAAACTCTGCTTGAAACTCTCCCTTCTTCTTGGCTATGGTCATGATTCTGATTCCTTCCTGAGCATTCAAAAACCTAGCTGCATTCCATATTAAAACAACTCTTTTTTTAATGCTGGTCCATAGTTTCTCTTTTAGACTCTTAGAAGAAATTCTTAGTCTTATTCAAGCTGGGTTTTCCAAAGAACACAAGACAGCTGTTAGAAAGCAGAACAATAAAGGAGAATATTTGTAGCTCAGGGTTGAAATGAGGGTGTACCCAAACTAGGTAACATCATCAGTGCTTGCAAATGTTTCATTACCCAAACTAGGATGATGTTTCCTAGTTTGGGTAATGAAACATCTGCAAGAAAAGAACCAAGCTCAGAGGGCACCAAGGACCCCTCGGAAGAACAAGACAAACAGTCACAGTAATCAAAGGTGGTTCACAAGTTACAGTTTAAAAGCAGTTACTTTTATAGAGGAGTCTTTCGGTTGTTCCTAGGAAACGTGTGAACTTAGCCTGCTTTGTGGTTTTGTGGTTTTGCTTTCTTATGGGGTTTTGCCATTTTTATCATTTGTAAGTAGAAGTGGTGACCTCAGGATAAAGGTTTTATGTGAGGACATCTATTATAGAAATGAAGAACTTTCAGTATCTAGAGGGGATCTTCTTTGTTTAATTAAGTTGCTGGTATTTGCCAATTTCACCTATCTAAGATGAATTTCAGCCTAGGTGTCAAAAAGGCTTAAGCAGTCTTTTTGGTTCTGTTATCTGGGGTTCACTGGCAGGTCAGGGAGGAAAGAGGGCAAGGGGTGGCATGGGGTGGCATGGGGCTTTGGCCTCCCTACAAGGCCTTTAATAAATGTCAACTTTTCAGACTTCTATTCCCAGTGTATGGAAGAGCCAAATAGAACAGCCACATACTTCCTACTTGAAACAAACTGCTTAGTTAACTTTTTTTTTTTACATGAGGTGTTGAAATCTCACCCACTGAGAAGCTCACGTCACCTGGAGTAAGCTGAGAATTGTTGTTGAATATAGCATTTCAATCAGGAATTGACATTTTTGATCTCCCAGTAGGTGGTAGCAATACTGAAGACAGCAGGAGCACCAGACATACCTCTGCAGAGGCAAAAAAACAACAACTATTCTCTTCCTTGCAAAGGCGGGTGTATGGCTTGAAATATGAATTCTGACATTTTGCTTCATTTTGCTTTTGCTTTTTAAGGGGAAAACAATTGTTTGAAACAACACATTCTGCCCTCTGGTTTAGTTTTGTTCTAACTTTGCAAAAGACAAATATAGTTTTTAGAATGACAGATAAGGCTACTATACATGTATATAAAATGGTTCTATTAATTTATTTTGCATCTACTCATCACTGGAAAGTTGAATGCTTTAAAAAATATACTTATTTATATAATGTTGAATGGAAAAGGCATAAAAGTCAAGAAAATAAAAAAATACGGTAGAAATAACACAAACATAGTTTTGAGTATATATAAACTTAAAGAATGCAAAAATTTAAACATTCATGTTTCTATTCTTTTGTATATACAGTACAACATAGTTTTTGAAAAGTTAATTGCTTTGATATAACTAACATTTCAGATAGTAAAATTATCCTTAATTAAATAATCCTTTGAGTCTTTTTGCCCTTGTGCTATTTGAGGGTGCTGTATTGGCTTCCAGTAAGTTTCTGAATATTGTTCAAATGTTGGTTTAAACTTTTAGAACCTAAATAATTTAAGCTCCTAGATACTTGCAGCATCACCTCCAGATAAGAACTGATTCATTTACTGTATTTCCCTCATATTAGTTGGGGATATCCAACTTCCGAATCTAGGAGAGTTGTGATCTATAGGAGCTTAGAGGTAATGCTTTTCTGTGATGCCTCCCCTACATGAAATAGCCTCCCACTGGAGGTCAAACTGACACCAACTTTGTGGCCTTTCAAAAAGCTACCCAGATGGAGTTAAAGCAAGGGTTTAAAAACTAATGTGTGTTTTTTGCCAGTGCATTGTAATGTTTACTCTTAGTGGATTTGTAAAGTTTTAAACTTTACTGCATTATGTTTCTGTGAATGTATACTAATCAGAGCCGTATAATTTCAATAGTATGTAAATAGAACAGATAGACAGACTGAACTAAAATCAATCAAGCCACTATGAATTGCTTCAGTCTAATGCAGGGGTGTCAAACTGCCGGCCCATGGGCCGGATGCATCACGAGGAAACCGCGCCTACCCCATTGCCGACAATGGGGGGAAAGTTCAGATACGTCGCGCAACATCACGTGATGTTGCGAGTTTGACATGTCTGGTCTAATGTGTCAGCCGAATGGTAGGATTCCTAAGCAGATGGTCCCATCTAGGCATTGATCCACATTGTTTCACATTACTAAGCTGCTGCATTGTATCTTCACATTATGCCATAGGACCACAATGGTCTGGCTCTACATGCAAGTCATCACTGATGTTGCATCATCTTTCACAGATCATGTATGAATGGACCCACCCTTTTCTTTTGCTTTGCTTCTATTAAGCAGTACCTTTTTACACTTAAATTGCTGTGTTTAGTTCCCATTAAGGCAGTGAAAGGTGGTTATATGTCTCAGCTCCACTGAATCCATTGGAATGGAGGATAGGGTAAATTTTCTTGGCAGATCAAAATTCAGGCTTTCAGTGCTGAAATTTACAAACATCCCTTCAATTATAACAGGTGACATTTGACATGTTTTGACATCCAGCACAGCTTTTAGCATGGGTATTATGGCAGAGGAGTTTAAAGTCACATAAACAATATTTTCTGTGTTAAGTAGCCTGAATATTTTTTCCTGGATATGTTTGTCATAGGAGGGCATGCCTTTAGTTATAATATCTATGACTTAGGTGGGTGTTGAATTATTTATGAATTATTTTTTATAAATGGTTCAAGGTCCTGCAAATACTGAGGGAGCAAGAAGGAGATCTATTCTTGTTTATAATGTACCCTGATGATTTTTTTGTGCATAAGGCTTAAGCTGATTTGTCTTTCTTATATGGGATAGATTTGTATGAGTTTAAGGCTTTGATATTATGAAAATATATTTAATTGTATTTGATGAATTATTCGATAAATTACTTAGATGGAAAATGATTAATGGGACAATGGGTCTTATTGAAAATCATTGCAGAATATAAATATACCACATACTGTACATTTTTTCACAAAAAGGAAAACACCATTGCTTCTTTGAATATAACAGATATATCTGAAGAAAATAACGGTTGCCCAGTATTAAAACAAAATTATGTAGCAATCCCTGACCCCAAAAGAATTGTTAAAATAGCTTAAAATTGTTTTGAATGTTTGCCTTAAAACAGATAGTGAAAGATACTGCAGTAACTCCAAACCATTATTTGTTGCAGATATAAACATGGCTGGAGAACCGAAGCCCAACAGACCAAAAGGACTAAAGAGAACAGCATCTGCCTTGTACAGGTAAGGTTGCTGAGGATTTTACCAGGGATATTCACCACACCTGTATTTAATCATGCATGATGGCAGCCTATCAGAGCTTGCTATCCTAGGCTGCAGCCCACAGAAATCTTCAGTAGCCTCATTTCAGTAGTGAGAAATAGGCCTGATACCTTTTGGCCCCCAGAATTGTAGAATGCAAACCTGGAAAACAGATAAGCTTATTTGGCAAATAAATGGGTCTTTGAGCAAGGTTTCTAATGCATAGGTCATCCATGCAGTTGGCAAAGGCAATAAAATTCAGACACCAGCAAGTGGCATATGGCAGGAGTTTGGAAGCAAAAATTAGGAGAAGGGAATGAATGGGTTAAAGGTTGAGCAAAAAGAAGGACTTTCTGACAACAGGGGCAATTAGTGTCAGGTTTGAATATGGTAGGACATAAGGATGATTCTATCAATGCAACTGAGAGACTGCAATGGAGGAGTAATATGAGGGTCATAGCTCCTAAATTTATCAAGAAAGAAGAAAGTGGGAAGTGTTGAGACGGATGTTGGAGAGGGTGATGGCAGAAAAGAGATTGGAATAGATTGTTTATCCAGAAATAGATTGAACATTATAGAAGATAAGAGTGATGGGCAGCAAGCAAAATGAGGAATCAGATGAGGGTAGAACTTAGCAGAGACCTTAAGAAATAAGCAACAGAATTTAGCATCATTGAAAGTGACAGGCAGAAATCTGAGGCTTCAGGAACCTGATTTGGATCATAAGACAACAGCAGGAGAGAAGCATGTAAACAGATAAGTCAGCCAACCCTTGTTCTCTCCAGGTATATAACACTACAAGTGAAATATAATGCATGGAAGCAATAAGCCATGGAAGGGAATAAGAGTGATGAATAAAGAGTTAATGACAAAGAAGACCTGATGATGGTAACTATAAGAAAGGATAAGTCAAAACATTAGATTAAATGACTGGATCATCTTGTCTTTCCTCCACAACTTTTCCCATCTTATGTCCTCAAAATACTAGAGCAAATATCAAGCTAGCTGGGAATTCTGAGAGTTGAAGGCCAATGGATAAAGAAAATACAGTATACAAATATTTGCATACCCTGATTTTGGCATGCATTAAAGTAAATAGCAAGGTAGAGAATTATTTGTTAACATAATTGCGATGCTAATTGTGTAGATTGGTACTGTATAACTAAGAAGTAGATTTTAGGTTGGGTTCTGCCAAATAGTTTCTCCATAATTATAGCAAAGTAAAAAACTAAATTATCTTCCCCCAATTCCAGCTATATCACAGTTCATGTAAAAACATTTACTGAGGTTTTGATCCTTTACCCATCACTGTTACCAAACAGCAGTCTTGTCGATAACTTTTTCCATTTTGCTCTTTCATCATATTTATTACTTCAGATAAATATTAGTTGCCCCTTCAGGCAGCTCTACAAAAGGAAAAAGTTCTGAAGATTAAAGGGAAGGCATGTTCTGCCTTGTTTTTATCATCCTTGGGCTTTTTTCTCAGTCCAGAAGGATGTTTGGCTTCATCCTTGTTATGTTCCCTTCACCCAGCTAGACAGACACATCAAACACTTCCATTACTAAAGGCTGAATAAAATGTAATCATGTGTAATAATAAATAATATGCCAAATTGGGGCACTTACACAAGTATAGGTTTTACTCACATTTTAGCGGATCTCATGAACATGTCAGCACAACACACTTGCTATAGCCATAGCAACAGGACAATATGATTAATGCCATTGAATACTACTGTTAAGATACTTATTTAGCTGTGGGCACATCAAAAATAATTGCTATGATCCCTATTTGTTTTGTGATTTAATTTAACTCTACAGTGCCCTACTGAAATGTTACAGTAGAGTAAAAGACAATATAGTTATAAAATAGCATATTACATGGGATAGGTAATGTTCCAGATGGTTTACATGGATAATTCTGAATTCCTCAATATTTTGAATTCTGTGATTCTAGATGAATAGAAAGGGAGGATATTTTCTGATCAAATCCATTCTCATAACTACTGCATTAAAGTGATGACCATAGCCATTGTTTTAAGACTCATGGGTCAATTAAAGTCATCTGTGCTGATGGAGCATTGTATTTTGAACATTTGCATATTCATAAAATAATCATTTTGAAGAAATCTGTTTACATTATTTCTTCAAAGAAGATACTAGCCTGATGTTAGAACAGCATGATTATAGGAGGTAGTCCTCTTATAACATCTCTCTGCTTCCTGTAATTATTAGATATCCTTGCATTACAAATAATCAACATTTGCTTAAAATTGGTGAACAAGCTGATCAGAGGCACTCTTTTGGCAAACTGAAAGGTTTTTAATTTCTCTAGTTGTCTAATACACTAACAATTATAATTTTACTAATTGCATTAAGTTTTATGTCATCTTTGATTAAGAGTGACAATTGTAAATGTAAATTGAATGTACTAGTGGATTTTATGGAAAAATATCAAAGGGCTGAAGCTAAGTTTCCTATAAGTTTGAGACTTGATCAAACAATCTATGCTGAAATATCTTATAAAACTATGCTGGATTCTAATCAAATATCTTCAACTGGCCATTTCATATCTAGCCAGATGGAATAACCTCAAACTAAGCACAGCATGTTTAGGCTAGAATGAACCTGGATGAAAGAAAGCTGATCTGCTATAAATGAATCCCTTGGCGCTAAATGTACCATTAAGGAGTCTGGATGAATTCATTCTTTCTGAAGTCCATTGTGAACCAACCTGATCTGCTAGATGAATTACAGATTGGGAAAAGTTATTCACTGCCTTATGCCCTCTCAAAGCAACAACACAAAAAACCCAAAATCAAAATACTTTGGAATAATGGCTAGCTTTAGAGAATATGTTCTTAATTATGTCTTTTGAAAATGGAAATGTTCTTGTAGACTTCTTTTTAAAATATTGCAAACCAGTCAGAAAAACATTTGTGGTTGAGGATATGCATAGGTTATATTGTCTCGAAATACACTTTCTCTATCTCTAGTTAGAGTTAGTTAGTAAGTTAGTACCACAGTTCTAAGTATATTATTTTGGAAGTAAGGTCCAAAATAGTTATTTCATTCCTAAAAGAGTAATTCAGCTAACAAAGGGCATTCAATATGGAGCATCCAGCTAAGAAGCAGCATCTAAGAAAAACAGAGGGTAGTGGGTGAGGACACTGATTGTTTCTCAGACATCCCTTCTTCTCCTTCTCCAGCAATTCTAAGTAGCAGGCTGCCACAGAAGTGGCTCTTATCAGAGTTCTGATCTGATTTCCCATGTAGGGGCTTTGCAATTAATCTGAGATCACAGAGCATTAGCCTAAAGATGGCATGCGGCTCTAAGGCTACATGATGATCATTCTTCTCTCAATAGGTAATAAGGATTAGATTGTATCAGTACCAGCAGGCAAATCTTCCCTACCTTTTCCCTTCTTTCCCTTCCCCATTCAGGCAGCATCATAGATTCATTCTCTCTTCTGTTCATCATTTCTCTCTGTGTTCTAAAGTAAATGCACACTCAGACTCCATTTTTCCTTCACTCATTTCCCATTCTTTTCCTCTGTCTCTTATGCACTATGGCTGGATTTTCATACTACCCAAAACACTAATCCCAGGCTAACACAACTTGATTTCAGTGTTTGCTTAACAAGTTTTGTCCAAATATATCAACCATGTTACTGTATAACTAAAAATGTTGGGCTGGCTCATGCCAAGAATCCTGCAGTTACTTCCCACAATACTAATTATGTGCCATTAAATGGGTGTTGACTCTTAGCATCAATGACTTTATGGATACATCCCTCCTGCCAACCTGTGGAAGGTCAAAGTATCCAGCCCATTTTAGCTTATCTAGTATGTTGTATGAATCCAGCCAGTGAGGCACAAACCATAGAACAAGAACAAATAGGGATATTTTGACCACACTGATTTGCCCCAGTCTCTTATTTGAAATATCCAAGATCTCGTGGACAGGAAACACATAAGACTTATATGGAAATTCTCCAAAGTGTTAGACCATTGGGGTGAAGATAACAGATGAAGTGGTTAGGCTATTCCCAGTCCTTTGAGTGCAAGCAAATTGGCCAACCCTGTTTCAAGGAGTTGCACTTGTTCTGTTTGTCATCTCATTCTGTGGGGCTCTGGAAGGAAATCGATTCCTCTGATGCCCCTGCTTCACTTTTTGATGCAGTCACAGACTAGGAGTATCCAGAAAGCAATTATAGGAATATAGCTAAGAGGAACTCTGTCAGCAAAAAAAAGGGAAGAAAGCATTATTCTATCTCATTTGTCAAATGGAAGTTAACAAGAAAGGGGATGTTCCCTCCCCACAAGCGTCAGCATCAGAGACCAGCAGTTAGCCAAAAATCTTATTCAGAGCTCAGATGAGAAAAAAAAGGTTATTTCAATAGTCAATTCAACTATTGAAGAATTAAAGAATAAATAGCAGTAATTATTTGTGGCTCTCTTAAGGCTTAGACCTTCTTTCCTTTAGTAATACCCTCCTGCTTATAGACTCAGTAGAGGGGCAGCTTCTAAAAGAGGACCTTCACTTTGGGAAGGAATACAAGGCTTGCTAGCCTAGATGGGAAGGACCTGTAGCCCTACAGATGCACTGAGGTAAATGCACGGTAAATAAATTAGGCTGTGTAAAGTAGCTCTGTTCTCCCTTGAGAGTTTATCTCAGCCCACACTGTTAAAATAATCTGATTCAAAGTAATGAACAAAATTGCTCACTTATTTTTCTGCCTTGAATTTTGCCCTGGCACATGCAACATTTGTGTAGACCAGGGGTAGTCAACCTTGGCTCTTTTATGACTCGTGGACTTCAACTCCCAGAATTCCTGAGCCAGCCAGCTAAGCTGGCTCAGGAATTCTGGGAGTTGAAGTCCACGAGTCATAAAAGAGCCAAGGTTGACTACCCCTGGTGTAGACTCTCTTTTGAGCATCCAGGGAGAAGCTAGATGACCGCTCTGAAATACCACTTGTAA